GTCCTTCTGTATCCCCAGTCACCAAATACTCATGATTTAACCCAAACATGATCCTTTGATTCGTTTCCCCTTTCCTTTTAATCCGATACAACACTTCCCCACTTTGCCTAATATCCCAACATGCAATACTACCCGAATTACGACTGGAACTATACAAATATCGACCATCTTTAGAAAATTCTACTTGACTTAAACCTTGTTGGTTTCCTGCTTTGTTTTCTGGATCTCGCATTGTCACTAATAACTCGTTATTACGCTCATCGGCTATCCCAATATTGCCCGAAAATGTTCCCATAGCATACATTCCTGATTGATCCGTGTTGAAATCGATAGTTGATATTACACCTTATGGTTAGGTTGCTTTTATATAATGATTTAAATGTTCTGAAATATATGTAGGTGTTTTAAATCTATAAATGTAGAGTATAATACTTATAGTCTTATCCGGTAGACTATTAGAGTATAGTGATAATAGTCTGACGGCGTAGCCGTATAAAAATACTGTAATAATAGTGATATAGTAATTGTAGAATATTAAAGATTGTAATTCATAAACATGGTGTAAAATAAATAGTACGAAAAACCAACATACCTTTCAATCCATCTGGATGTGCTCTTGAAGGAGTACATTTGACTCTCATTTCCAATTCCCCATAAACATCAAACACATCTACACAATTATCATACCCAGCATAGACTTTATCACCATACAAGTTAAACCGCACACACATGGGCGCGGTAATTTCGTCCGCGCCATCTTTAGATTTATAAGTACATCGGAGAGCACCAGTGTTGGAATCCAGGAGGTGGATTGGATGATCGCGTTTGGTAGTTAGGAAGCAACATGTGGATGGGTCCGTGGTTTTCATGTGTGGGTACCATGCATAATCGTAGATGTCTTCATTGTTTTTCCATATTTGTGTTGGTTTGTAGTTTCTGTTTAATCCAACAGGTTTATTATTTATGGTTTGATATGGAATTGTATCTGCTTTATCTGTATCCATACTGTCCAAAACTGTAGTTTCGTTTACAATATTCTCATTGATGTCCCCAGTTGTATTAGCAATCGTATCCAGACCACCAACAACATTTCCATCCGTATAAATCAACATTTTCTTTGTGGTTTGTACTAATAATTGAAGACCATCTGGAGACCTAATTGTTAAAGTAAGAGATTACCATGATGGTCTGCTAAAATAGTCTTTACCATATACTGTATCTACCAGTTGATTTGATATTTGAACTTTGTTCATTGACATTTTGATAACTTTTTTCAAAACATTTCTTTAATCTTGAACTTGGATATTGATAGAGACTTCATGAATCCTTCTGCTACCTTACTAATTGATAGTTCAATTGAATACGTACAAACTTTAACTCATTCTAATCCATAATTCAATTCATTTTAAGGTACCGCAACTCTCACTATAAAAGCTCTCATCTTTGTGTTTTTTTTTCTTACATTTTAAACATTTTCTCTTGTAAACTTCATACTAGAATTTGTGATGATGATTACAAAAGGAAAAGTGTAGGATATTAGGAAAAGTGTTTTTGATATGATGAACTTACTAGTCTATTAAACCCAGCTCTTCGAATTGTTAGCGCAATCATGAGACCAACTAGTTTTTGTTTCTGATCTTATTCACTTAATGTATTGTTTTCACTTACCCCAATCTGTACTTGAATGTAATAGAAGTTATCATTTATTCTACTACTTGGTTTCAAATCAGCTGCTATTTTTTTTATGGTTCCAAAACCCTTACAATAGCAAATATTGGTGAATCTAACTATATCATCCATTTGGATTTGTATGGGTTACTTTCTAAGACTTTGTGTGTGAATCCTACTTCATTTAATATGTCTCTGAGATGGTAATGTTGTATCTAGTTACAAATTCTTAATTAAGATACTTAAAAGTTAATAATCCATTATCTTTGTTCTGCATTAAACACTTTTGGTCTATTTCCTACTTTTCAAAGTCTCCCCCTTATTGTATTTGACTACCCTTGTTTTTATAGTAAAAGGAGTCTTTCCGTAAATAACAGCCAGTTCAATAAAGTTCAATTTTTTAAAATAAAAAGCATAAAAGGAAATGAACTTTTGTATTTAAACTGCAGTGTTTTCTTAAAACTAATTCTTTTATCATACATAACTTTACAAAAGAGTATGATGTCTTTCATATAACAATACTAAAGATTGTTTTCACTTTATGCGGATTATTAATAGCCTGTTAACTGTTTTTGTCGCAATATTTAATACAAATCTATCAAAATCGAACAACGCAATTCATTTCTATTTCGCGTTCCAAATCATGCTATAAGATAATACATTCTAATTTTCCGTTTCCATTCAATAGAACTACAACAATAGACTCTTGTCCTCAATCTAATTTGAACAATGATTCCATTGAATCAGAATCATCTCACTATAACTACAAGTAATGATACGATACAAATTATTCAAACTGTTTGTGGTGTGCAGCTCAAATAAACATGTTACAGATATTTCCCTTTCCAGATCTCCATAAAAAAAAAATGCACTTGAATATACATGCAATGGCCATTATTAAATTATTCCGGTAAAAACACAGTGTTTACATACAGATGAGCGTCACTTGGAATTTTGGAATTCCAATCAATGATGGATTCAATAAGAGCTTTTGCTTCTGGGGACCAATCATCAGAATCTATCAAATGTTGATAGTCTCCAGGTTGTATGTAGCCACGTTCAATTGCAACCAACCTGTTCACAATTGCGCGGAACTGAATCAACCTTCTTAACGGTCTTGAGGCAGAAGGGAAATCAAGTGCTTTACCATCATATTGTCCAAATGTTACAGGTTGTGGATTGAGAAATATAAATTCTTTTGCAATGCTTTTGTCCAGAATTCGATATATGAAATTTTGACTTGATTGATCATATTCAATAAGAAGTTGTCCACAGTCATATTTAGACTCTACATTGCCATGCAATAAAAGCATATTTTGTGGTGAATTCTTCGTAATATTTTGACATTCTAAACCACCTGTAAGAATTAATTCTTCGAATTTCCCTTCGTCCCAGGAAGCTTGGAAAATATGAGAACGGTGTACATCAGGGATTGGAAAATCAAAATTTGTCAGCATATCCTTGATGGTGCTCGTTTGAGATTGACCGTAATAGAACAAAATTGTTTCGGATTTCAACTGAGCGTTCTCTTGTTGCTTCTGTCGCTTTTCAGCAACCCTTGTTTGCTTTCTGATTTCTCTTTCGGTTTGAGACAGGCTGTGCTCTGATGGATGAATAGAAGGAGTTGAAAGAGGGAACTTTGTCACGAGGGTAGGTGAACGGTTGAGAAGTAAGTCTCTTTCAACAGTAATTCGAGCTGTTTGTTGCTTACTGAGTTCCACCAACGTTTGTTGCTTACTGAGTTCCACCGACGTTTGTTGCTTACTGAGTTCCACCGACGTTTGTTGCTTCTTCAGTTCAACCAATGTTTGCTGAGCACTTGCAAATACAGCTTTCAACTCCAAATAGGTTGGGTGGTTGATGTTGAGCGGTTGGTTTGCTACTTTCCACTCCCGGAGTTCTTCTCTTGCTTCTCTGAGACCTACTAACGCTTCTTCAATCACTGGATCCATTCCAAAAGGAAAGAGTTTCATGTGGAATTTATGTTTATACCCCTCCTCACGTGACCATATCACAGATACTTATAATGGTCTAATGAATTTCATGATGCCGAGGATTAGTGTAGTACAGAGAGATCCTAATCATGATTTCCAATCTTGGCAAACCCAGCATAGAAAAAAAAACGGAATAGTGCTCATGACCTCAATTAAGTTTGAACAATGATTACGTTGAATCACCATCATGTCACTTCTTGGATTTGTACAATGAGCCCCATTATATCAAGACGCGGTTCTTCGTTGTTCCATTAAAGAACGGAACTCACTCATAGAAATGCGCAACTCTCTAGCAAAATCAATTTATTAGAGCATTCAAATCAAAACACGAAAATCATCCTCCTTACATTCCATTCAATGTCCCTTCACATCACCCACCTGCTTGCCTTGAACACTCGTCTTCTGATGGCTTAGCTACTTCTTTATTTGAGTAATCGACTCGGTATTTTAGTTTGGTATTGGCAATAATTGACTTGTGGTTGGTAGACGCATCTTGTCTTGTTTTTGCTTTGCATCAACATATCCTTGGTGGTGTGAATATCAAACAACAAGATTATCTAGGAATAAGTAATAAATCATCATTACAGGATATGCTCCTTTGATAGACCACACTAACGCATTCAAGTTTCGAGTACCAGGAGTCGGACTAGCCAATTGTCCAATCACTACAATAATCAATGAATTCACTACAAGAATTAAAATTCTTGGAATGGACGATTTCAATAACGCAAACAACAACGCCATAGTGGACTCATTGGATACTTTCAGTTGTTGTTTGATACTGGTCATCAAGAGAATAAAGATCACTATATCAGCCAAACCCCAAAAGATAAACGCATACGAATGAGCCACTGCAATCGCTGGGTTTCCAGTAGTATTATCTCGGACACGTAGATACCCAATATTGATACGGCATATCGCAAATGCTAAAAACATAAACCGTAATATCCCACGTAAGACTTTTTTGTAGAACAAGCTGCTTACAGCTACATCCAGTTTGATGGTTGAATAAATCACCGTAGTAGATTCATGAATAATCCAACAGATTTCATTCAACCCTAACCACCATCAATACAATCAAACAAACCGAATATGGCGTCGACTAGCCTGTGATTTCGTTGTAGCCGCAATACAACAATGAATTTATATCAGTTGACCTGTAATGAAACCATACTATTAATGAGAATACAATTATTTCTCCCATTACCACCATTTTTCCCTTTACTCTCCATTACTAGTATGTAGTATTATCGATCTATTTGAATTTAATCACATTATAATGACGGCCGATTACTTGACAACGGCCTTAAAAAAATGTGATTCAAAAAATCAAAAAAATGCTTCGTACAGGGATCGAACCTGTGACCTTGGCGTTATTAGCACCACGCTCTACCGACTAAGCTAACGAAGCTATGACGGGTGTTACCAGTTTTACTCTAAGACGTGGAATCAGAAACCGAATCAAATTGTTTTTGCTTGTTTTCATGGTTCTGGTACTTATTGGAAGTTCATCATAATTATACAGCCAAATGAATGGCCTTCAACTCACAACTACTTAGAAGGTTGATGACTAAATACTCATTGATATTAACCAGAACAATTAGTACATAATAAAAGAATAAAACGATAAATACAGCAATGAAATGAAATATATACTTGTACATACTACTTTTTCACGACAGTGATTGGAATTTTGATATGGTGAATAGCATAATCTGATACAGACCCCATCACGAATCTACCATGAAAATCCATCTAAACTTTACCTTTGAATGACACCATTATTCTGTGAACCAATAATCAATAAATCAAAAGGAACTTCAGCATTTTCAATATACTTTTCTTTTTAAATATGAGATTTCATTACATTTTCCAGTATCATTCCAACTTCCCCATCACCTAGTATTAAATAATATATTTATACCTTCAATTTGAATGAATTCATAATCTAATTGAATATCTTGTAATATTTCATCACATAATAATTTTTCTTTTATAGCTTCATCTTCAATCTATCATTAACGATGAATCAACAAACTTCCAAGTTTAATGCATTATCTAAATGATCGATATAAGGTATAGAATTAGGAGGATTTTTAGCGATGATATTGATGATCGTCTATTGATTAATTGAATGGGTTTAACTAATTGATATTTTTTTAAATTAGTGCATAATTGAATAGCATTTTGTAAGGCTTTGATTCCATGTTCGGTTGAATTGAAAGCTAATAAAATATTCATTTGTAAAAGTTTGAAAATTAAAATGTTTTAATTTTTACTATGGATGACTCATGATGAGTCATACACAACTATATAAAAAATCAAATTACAATTTCCTATCTTTATTCATTTAGGAAATATCATGGGTGATATACTATTCTTCTCTCTACTAAATAAATTACCTGGATTCATATCAATACGATAATGATGATCCCATCCATGAAAATAACTTTGAAATTCATACTTTTCACTACCTTCGTTCATCCATATCACATCTGATGTTTTAAAATAGTTCAACATCATCTCTACTATACTTGTTCGTGATGATCGTGGTGATTGTATAGGTGTCGTTGTCATCTTTCTCGTATCATTATTGGATTTAAAATATTGTTGAATAGAAGTTTTAGTGAAATTTAAAACAATATCATTCACTTGTTTACCTACCCATACATATAATGGTGACTTGAAATTACTTTGTTGTGGATCCATAATCACACATACATCCGATCTTAAATCAGTTTGATTAAATAATTTTCGAAATTGAATTTGTAAATATCCTGGTTGACTGGTACATATCAAAAATATGGGTTGAAGATTGGTAACCGAAACATATCGAATTTTGGTTTGATTAAACAATTGACAAAATGATTCAGGTTCATTTCCTATCTACTTAAAATACATTGTATTTACCAGCTGGAATAATAGTCACATTTTCAAGTAATTTGGAGTTGGATGGATCTTTATCTCCTTCTGTCATCTCTGGTTTAAAGTGAGATTGTAACATATCAATCACTGTCAACACATTTTCATAATCATTCTCGATCAATTGATTGACGTACCATAACATATGATGATCTTCGTTATGGTTGTATATGTAAAATGAATCAGATGAATTCAAATATTCAGATCGAAAGTCAATCTGAATGGCTCGATAAGTTTGGTAAACAGTATCAGTATGTATTTGATAACAACTTTGTTTTGTTGTTTTATGATGCATGTTTTTTGGTCCATAATGTAATACGTATCCATTTTCAATATGTGACAGTAGAACAAAAGGTTCTTTTCCAAATTCAACTTGTTGTACTTTAACTGTACAATGATACATTTTCGCCACCAATTCTTGCATTTCTTGTAATGTTTTTAATTTAAAGGTGGAATAAGCCAACTTGTTTGAATGAACACCTTGAATAAAGTAAACGACACACTCTAGTTGATCTTTAGGATCCTCTTCGTTTTCTAAATCACCCAATTCCGTTGAAAAATCATACGGTTCCGTTAATATCTGTTGAAATTGATCATTATTTAATCTATAGACACATAGAAAAAGGTAAGCTTCATGAGTATAAAAGTGACCAATTTCAGATTCTTTTAATTGTACAAACTTTCCTTTTTGAAAAATAAAAGAGGTAAATGATTCCAATAAAGAATTGATTTTATGACATGTAGCTTGAATTTGATCAACAAAAGATTCCGTTAGATGATCCATTACAACAGGTTTATAAATCACATCCATATCAATCTTGGCGGTAGTTTCTACCGTTAAATGTTTCAACACTATCATGAGAGATATGATAATTACTTTTCAATTTGACTTGTGTAAAATCATTTTTGATCTCCCAATCCTCGAATCGTAACTTGAATACTTCTGGTTCAGCTCCATCTACACATTTGGTGAATCCAACCCATTTTGGTCTTGGTACGGAAGCAACCACTTTCTACCTTATCAATATAAAATCTATCATTTACAGCAAATAAATCAGTTGATACTTTTCTTAAATCTTTCCAAGAATCTTTTCCAAACCACATAAATAACTCTACACCAAAATCCAATACATAACATCCATCTTTGATCAACATTGTTTGTTTTAATTTTTCAGTTGATACAATATGAGATTCTAAATCTGGTGCAACTTTTGGAAAGACTCGATAAAGAATGGTACGATTGGATAATTCTACCAAATCACCTTTAAAATCTATTTTATTTTTAAATAAATGAAATGTTAAATAAAACTTACCTTCAATTTGATCTTGATCACGATTACTAAAAAATTCCCAAAATCGATCATCTTCATCATTTTGATCTTGATCATTAATTTCATATCATTGGATACCTAATTCGATAACAGATGCTTTACAAGATCGTTCCTGTTTATTGATTCTCCCCAATAACATTCTACCTTTGGATCGATGTTGAAGACTTGATTGTAATCCATTCCATTGATACAATTCCAACCCTGAATCTAAAACATAAACACATTCTGATTTTAACGTAGAAATAATCAATTTAACCTAATATAAATGAACAATAGTGTTGAATACCAAATGTAATGTAACACCTTTCTTTCCTCGTAATTCATACAATCTCGTTGGATACTTTTTTTCTTCTGCCATAAATAAACCAGTTTCAGTTGCAAAAGTTTCATCCAATAATGTTAAATCAGTACTAAACAATGATAAGAATAAATCAGATTCATCCGATTCCGTCTAAAAAAATAAAATCAATATCAAAAAATCATTTCAACCTCTCGAATGATTTTGGAAGGAGATTCCAAAAGGTTTCGTAATACTACTGAATACCTAACTTTAATACCAATTCATCATATTACCTATACAAAATCAATCACAATCAAATATTTACATTGCAGCACAAAATTTTTTATCAGTTTCAGCTTCACTACCAATCCAAGTAAATAATTGATGTGTAATTTTATCATCTATTTCAATTGAATTCAATATAATGTAACAATCAGCAATACAGAATTGACCATAATAATGTGCATCTAATAAAACTGGAATTAAATTTTCCATTCGAAATATAGTTAATCCTAAAGTAGATCCTAAATTTTGATTGAAAATGGAAGAATAATCCACATTGGATAACGGAGATACGGGTGTCATTGGAGTCACTGGTGGTTTTAATGGTTGTTTGACTTTGATAGTTTCCAAATCATTGTGAATTAGAATATCAGGAATAGATGTATTAATGGAATGAAGGGATGGTATAGATGTATTTTTTCGTAATTTAGTCGAATTGACACTTTCCATTGATACATCCGATACAGATTCAATTGTTTGTGATCGAATGGGACTGGTTTGAAGTGCATTGATAAATATCGAACCTATATATCATTGAATTCATCATCTATAATTACCTACACAATAAAATTAATCAAAATATAAAATAAAACCTCTTTTGATATCATCTTGATGAATAGACATTCGTGCGACTCTAGAAACACGACCATCCAATTCGGGTTCTTTAATAAAATCTTCCATGGATTGTACAGCGGATTCTTGTTGAGGTATACCTGGTAGTAACTGACCATAACTAGCACTTGAAAGATGTGAATTTGATAAATTGGAATTAGATTCAGAATAATCCGATTCGGTTTGTGATAATGATGTATCCGATTCATATGCATCACCAGAGAGTGGTGATAGATTAGACCGTGGTGAAATCAAATTTTGTTTTGAAGTAGATTCTTTCATATTGGATATCAGCAATGATAATTTCTCTTCTGAATTTGAATGATTTAATTTTTCAGATGATTTTAATAGATCGGCTGAAGATGAATGTCGAATTTGTCTTAATTGATCGGTTGAATTTGAATAACGTTTATTGAGTTTATCAAATGATTTGGAGTTGGTGATACGCGTACTTGTTCTTCGTATCGATCTAGTATCAATAAGTGGTTCTTGATCCAATACAGGTTGAACATTTGGTACCGTTACTGAATTTTTTAATGAATCAATAGAGAAAAGGGATGATCTAGAAGAATTATCTTGTAATTTTGGATGATTTGAATTTAAATTTTTAGAATGTTTAGATTGATTTGAAATGGTATTATATCGTTTAACATGATGATGAGATTGACTATTTTTCTTTTTAGTATGAGTATTTGAAATTGTATTTGGACGTTTTTGTAGAAACATCACTGAAGACTTTCTTCTAGCAGAAGACCAAGAGGAAGGAGAAGCAGCACCATCTGAGAAAGCAAAAGAAATATCTGAAGTTGAAGTTGGTAAAACAGCTTCTTTGTTTACGAAAACAAGAGGAGGAGGAGGAACAACGGGAGGAGTGACAACAGGTAGCGTACTCATGGCTAGTATAGATTATCGGTTCTTTACTGTTGATTTTCCTTTTGTTTTTTTTGAATGATTTTCGGTGTTTTTTGGTTTAATTGGTCGCGC